CAGAGGAGTCCAGACAAATTCAGATCCCAAGATCAGGTGCGTGAAAAAGAGGGAATATTATAGATTCATTAAAGGATGGCCTTGGGCTGGAGGACTCTTAAGAGTTCTCCTAATCGCTTCACTTTTTATCTCAGGAGACTCAAAGCCAAGAGCCAAAGGTCACACAGCCCCAACTTTGTAATACAACCCTGCCCCTCGCCCTCTGTTGAACTTTACTTTTGGACATTTCCATCATCTGTGTCATTGATAGTCACAGCTCACGTCCTCTGTTATGGTTTGGGTCTAGATGTCTCCCCAAAGCCTCCCGTGGCCATAGGCTTGATCTAGAGTGTGTGAAGCCGGAATTGATTCATGATGCAGACCTAGGCTGAAGGGGACTAGGATTAAGAGTGTGAGTGCTACCCACCCTACGTAGCCTGAAAAAAGATAAAAGGGGCAGGGAGATGCTGTCAAGGTTCCCTTGTTGCCTTTGCTACCTGGTGTGTGCCATGTTGTTTCTCCTCTCCAATGCCTGTTTGCCATCCCTGCCTTGTAGCCAGATGACTACGGACTGAAATCTCTACAAACTATAAGCCAAATTAACCTTTTCCCCTCTAACTTCAAGTGTCAGGTATTTTGTCTCAGCAAAGAGAACAGTAACTAACACATCCTCTAAGGACCAACGGCTCTTGGTATAACAGACCCCCTGAGGGAAATTGAAAGATGTCTAATGTTCTGTCCACTGAAGACACCACAAACCATAAGGCTTTAGTGGGGGATGGAAAACATCGTCCCCGAAGACCTCACAGACATCCTGAAAACTACTATTAATCAAATCTGCCTCAACCAAGTCTAATCCACCCACAACATTTAATAATCCCGGAAACAATTTGCATCATTCCAAAATACTTTTGCAAGGTCAGAAAATTCTAATGATGGAGCATTTCACCTCTCAGATTCATTTCTAGCTTCTCTATCCAGTGCCTCACGGTCCACAAACAAATCCTTAAGTCCCTCAAGGTGATGGCCCCAAACATGCATCAGGAGCTCCTTGAGGCATATTTACTCTTCCCAGATGCACACAGCACAGGTCCACTGGGGTGCAGGGCTTAAAATAATCCTGTTCAAATTGTCCTGTCTAAATATAGGCCGAAATGTACAAGGATTATCAAGTGGAGGGAAAGGGCTATTTGGGCGTAAAAATGAATGAAGCTTTTGTATTGGGGAAAAATAAGAGAATCTTTGGACTAGGGCTGTGAGGAAGGGGAGTGTGATTTACTGCTGCTGAATACACACGATAACACTGACTTAATAGTAAGCCAATTGTCTTTCAGTCCAGAGAGCCTCCGTGTGTCCCTAATGCCTTCCAATGCGGCTGATCTTCTTCCGTGACTTAGGGAAAGCTCAGGAGTCATTGTAGAGGTAGAACACACACAGGACAGAAATTGCCAAAGTGAAAAACTGGACATGAGACTTTCAAAGGAATTTCAATATGAATCACTTGACACAACGCTAATCCACAATTATAGCCTCTCTGTTTTTAAGTGTCATAAATTCAAAATTGTGCATGCCAGGGTCACTAGAGGTCAGACACGTTTTGATTTTCTTGGCATGACACGATACATAACAAGTTTTAGAAACAAATACTGAAAGAAACTATCCTGATTTATACCCTTCACCGTTTACAAAAGTCTTTTTGAAGCCGGGGATTTAGCTCAGTTGTTTCCGCGCCTGCTGCGCAAGCTCAAGGACCGGAGTTCGATCCCCGGTACCAAAAAAAAAGTCTTTTTGAAATGTTGTAGCATTTGTATGAGTCAACTCATGAAATCTGAATTGAAATCCTTTCTCTCATTAAACTGCTGTGTGTCCTGAAGCCAGTTACTTCGCTTTTCAGAGTCTTGGTCCCCTCCAGTTTGGCTCAGAGCCAGGGTTCTGAGTAAGGCCGTGGACAGGTGACCACACACAGATACGTTGCTGCAGACAGAACTAGAATGAGCCGAGGACTCGTCAGCTTTGTGGAGGATTGTACTATTAAACAGCACTTTATGCTAATAGCAGGTGCTATGGGATGATTTGGGGCGAATTCATTCTCCCACTGTACTGCCTAATAGGATTCGGGCTTATGAAAGAGGTCTAAGGCCGAGCGATGGCATGCGCTGTCTGGTAGCTGCTGGGAGGGAGGGCTGTGTCCCCAAATCCTTTTAGGGGACAGGAGGAGCTGCAGAGAACGGGGCTTGTGGAAGCCGCACGGCTGCCATCCCTAGAGAGGGTCTGGAAGGGAATGGCAGCGCGGGAACGTTGTGCGTCACCCGCCTCTGCTCACAACAGCCCAGGGCAACCCGTGAGTCCAACAGGGACGCAGCCGGGACTGTGGTCGTGGTGGTGGCCATGGACAGTACCAGGGAAGACCAGCCCGCCGCGCTGGTCGGTGATGCAGCCTAAAGCAGGGTGAGACGAGATGGACGCCCTCTCCAGGCTGCGAGCTGCCACACGCACGCACTGCACGGGGAAGAGTTCAGTGAGTCCCAGCCATTGTGCACCTGTGCTACTCCTTGGGTAAAGCTCATCTGCCAGATAAGCAAACTAAACTTCAGGAAGATCTGAGCCACCTTGCCAGGGTGATACAGCTAATAAACCACCCATGTGGGACACATTGCAAATCATCTGTGCTTTGCCTCTTTTGTGCTCTTCTATACATCTCATCATACAGATCAAAAATAAACATATGTGGCCAGGGATTTAGCTCAGTGGTGCCATGCCTGCCTTGTAAGCACAAGGTCCTGAGTTCGATCCCTGGCACCGAAAAAAATAAACATATAAAAATAAATAAACGTGTAATATACACATCTCAAGCATACTTCTACAAAGGCATTTTTATTTTATACATTCACACCTTCTACCCCAAGTATGTATACACCCCACACGCACACAAAAATTCCCATACCAAATGCCACACTTGTCATGAACACAGGTATTCACACTTTCACACACGCTGCTCTACACAGCACAATCCACTCCACATCCACAAATACCTGGTGCCCATTCCCATCCCAGCACATCCATTCTGCATCCACCCATTTGTATACGGGACACACGTACCCACCACACATAGAAATCTACCCACATCGCAGAAGGTCTCCTACATCCGTAGCTGCACACACATAAACAGGCAAGTGTTCTTGTCTCTCATTCTCTGCATCAAAACTAGCTCCTTGCCTGCTGCACAAGTGCAATGACCCGAGTTCGATCCCAGTACCAAAAAAAAAAAACAAACTAGCTCCTCCCAATATGAATAAAGCATCTCCAGATTACTAACCCAGAGTTCCCAAATCATCCTGAAATACCTTCCAAATCTTCAAAGCAATGCCAGATGCTGTCAATGGCTTTATTACTATGCATAATATCTAATTATTTTAAAATTGTTAATCCATATATAAATATTTATGACCACCTCCCACTAGCCAGGATATTTGATTAATTAAAGTAACATATTATTTGTTTATTCATTCATTCACTGTGCAATCTCCGAGCACCAGAGAAGTCTGAGACACCATGATACACACCGTAGGGGATTAAGAGAACAAACAAACAATAAGTAAGTAAATAAATAGAAACAAGCAGGATTCCTGCTTGTGAAACACAAATAGCTGCATCACATGGTGGCCTGGCTCCTGGCTTGATGGGACCTGGTAAGTGACGGTCATGAGAGGAGGGCGGGACGAGGTGAGGAGTCCACAGGTGTCGTGGGGGTCACTGTGACCTGGAGGGGCAGCATGGGAAGGAAAGTGTGGTGTTCGAGTTGGGAGGAAATGTGTGGTACATGCAGGATGCGGGAGGGGATTGTTCTGCAGGTGTTGGCAACTGAGCAAAAGGCTTTGAAAGGAGAGGCTCAACGAGAGATGTGGATTTGAGAGTCACTCATTGGAGCAGATCACTGGAACCATCATAAGTGATGCCCTCAGAAAAGGCGCAGAGGCGAAGGGTGAGGGAAGCCGAGTACAAACCCTGGGGGCACCGTGTCCTGCCTGATGCAGTGGTGGGAGCTTCTGTCAGACACACGCATTTCTCCCTCTGTCCATCTACTTCCTCCCATACATCAGCCCCAAGGGAATGTGGCAGGGCGGCACACAGGATTAGGAAATCTCGGGGTGGTTCTTCAACCCCACAGTCTCCCATCTTGATGCATTCTGAAATCTCTGTCTCCGAGAGTCTGGCCGGGGACGGTTGTTGTTCTTAGACATTCGTGATTCGTACTGATCTAAATGGCGATTTGGGAGCGCTTTGTTGGCAAGGAAGGTAACCGAAAACGCGTGAAGCATCCACAGCTGTTTGATTTCAAATCCCTAATTCTTGATACAAAGAGGCAGAGACCACTGATGAACTCTGAGACCTACAGAGCTCACCAGGCCCAACTGAGCATTTTCTAACATGGATGTTTCATGAGGCAGGAGCCCCAAAACTATGAGAATATAAGCTCGTTAAAGGTTCCGCGGAGGCCTGGGGTAAGCATGTCTGATTAGATTTGCGTTCCCAACTGCACTTGGCTTTGGAAACATTTTATTTTGTCTTGTTTTTTAATCGGTGACTGATTGTGAAGAGAAGCCTTGAGCTTCTTGAAGGCTAGGTTGTTTCTACTGTAAAGTCCCTCGGCTAAATTGTTCCATGAAACTGCCTTGCCCAGGGACCCCAAAGTGGAGGCCGATTCCACCAGACGGTTACCCCTTGGATCTCCTCTCCCAGGGAGGCCCAGTACCAGCGGTGACTCCCCAAACCCCGAGATGAAGCCTTAAAGGTGTCCGTGGTTTCTCTGCCTTAGTCAGGCACTCGGCTGCCCGCCAGGCCTCCATTTGGGCTGGGTAAACACTTCAGCCCAGGCCTTCGCTCATTACGGACCCCTGTGACCCATTGCTCTGCTGAGAACACTCGGGCAGCTCTGCAGCCGCTGGACTGAATGGGGCCAGGGTCTGATCATAGCGTGAGAAAGAGCCATCGTTAACCCTGTGCTTTCCTCTCTCTCTCAGCCTCGCTGCTTCCAAGGAGGCTGAAGCCGCCCGCTCTGCTCCCAAGTCGATGTCACCCTCAGATTTCCTGGACAAGCTAATGGGGAGAACGTCCGGATACGATGCCAGGATCAGGCCCAATTTTAAAGGTAGAGAAAACATTCCTTTCGTTTCCACAGGAAAATGCTTTCCCAGATTAGAGAATCAAACAGCGTGATATCGTATGCATATGGTATGAATCCCACAGCCCCTTCTCTCTGTACCCAAGGCCAGCGCTGCTCACCAAGTCAACCTTTTCTCCCACCAAACCCAGACAAAGCCTCAGAGGCTCCAACTGCACAGCACCTTTAGTTGCTTGGAGGCAGTACGTGAGGCACGGCTGACTTGCTACCTCTGGTATCTCAGACGGAGGATCCTCTGGGCATGGAGTGCAGCAGATTCGAGTCTGGGCCTGGTCACAGGCACACTCTGAGCTTGGATCAGCCTCTCCCTCTCTCTGGGCCTCCAGTTCCCCAGCTCTGCCGTGATGCACTGGGCCCCATCTGCAGGGTTGAATAGAACCTTCCTGGAATTTCAGGGCTTCCACCAGGTGCCCCCAAAGGGAGAAGCAGTGGAACAATGAGCAACTCCTCTACTTCTCCCCAAGTGGCTCCACTTTTATTTGTTTTGTTTTGTTTTTTATGTTAACAGTTACACTTCCGGGGGGGGGAGTGGTATTTGGTTATGTCTTTTTTTTAAGTTTGAAAATTTTGATTAGTCCATGTCTGCAGTACAAAATGATTACATTCATCATGGGGAGCTGGTACATGTGCATCACATACCTTAATTCTTTTTACTTCCCTCTACTTTTATTTGTTTTGATATGGGGTCTCCTGTCAAATTCACGCACTGAAAAGTTCCCACAGATTAACAAATAATTCTGAAAATATCTCATCTAGATCAGAGCCACAATTTCAAGTGCCTACCAGGGTTAGGAAGGGAACTGAAATGGGCCAGGTGAGGCAGAAGTGAGATAACAGAGAATGGTAGAGACTATGGATAAAAAGCGCTCCAGGCTTCTTCGAATGGAGAAGCTGCTCCGAGCCCTAGCCCACAGGGCCTTATAGAAATATGGGTTCCGTGTGGCCAAATCAGCCAGGATTCTAAGAAAAGCCACAAATCAAGGTCTATGTGAAACTTCCCCATTCATACAACACAGAAGTTCAAATGAGATACGTCTGTGAGCCAGATCTGCCCCATGGCTGCCAGATCACAAACCCTCTGCTGGTCCAGGCCAGCAGAGAAGGTTCATTTTGCCCTCCTAGCCCTGTGGGATCGGAATGTCTGGAAGAAGGGAGGCCAGTTCTGTGTTCACTGATGCCTTAGGAGGCTGTAAGTGTCTTAAAATGCCTAGGCGAAGTCTGGAGGTGCCATCTTAAGGCCTCCTTGGGAGTCTGTGCACTATGACCTTCCTTTCAGAACCCTGGTAAAAATGTATTTTGGGTGGTAACGTAAGCCCGTAATCCCAGCACGTGAGAGGCTGAAGCAGGAGGATCATCGTGAATTCAAGGCCAGCCTGAGCTACATAGTACATTCAAGGCCAATTCAGACTCCATACCAAGACCGTGACTTAAAAACACAAACAAACTTTTATTCGGAGGACCTGCAGCCAACCTCTGCATCCATTCCTGATTCCAGATGCCCTTCCTCACCGCTCCTCTGGCTCAAGCCCAACAGCCAACAAGGGCAGTGACAGCTGGTGGCAGCTGCTTAGCATGTGCCTACTTTGCCTCTGTTCTCCAAGTCCCCTTCCAGAGTGCTAGCCACACTCTGGGGAGCTCTGGGAATAGAAAAGGGCCTGGAAGACGCACCAGGGCCTGTTCGTGGGTCCACCTCCCGGCGCTCTGCACCCAGGTTCCTGTCACCTCGCTCCTGAGGCCACATCCTCCATCACCAAGAGCACAACCTTTTTCCTCCAGGGGCCGGAAAGGCAGGACAAAGGTTGTTATCACAGCACACTTGACCCAAGCCCTTCACCAGAGTCACAGCTCTAAGAGCAGAGAGGCCACGCAGGCATGGTCCATGAATGCAGTAGGATGGGGAAGAGAAGAGAAAATCAAAAAAAGCGGCCCTTGGCTAAGGGCTGCCGCTTCTCAGCTCCTGCCTATGGCTGCCAGGAGGGAATGCAGCCCCAGGTAGCCAGGTCTCCCAGGACTAGACTTAAATCTGGGGTTCTCCATGAACTCTTCCAAACTGGAAACTCAATCCTGTCCTTTAAAAGCACCATTGGCCAAACCAAACTTGTTCAAGGAGTGGTTAGGGCCCTCCACCATCAGATCGGGTGGTCCACCCCAAGCAGATTTTTTAGGAATTCTGGTCCACTCTGCCCCCTGGTGGGCTCTCTCAGAACTCCACCCCGAGCAGAGGTGTGATCTTGCTCTTAGGAAGACTGGTTCATAGGCCAAACGTGGGTGCACCGGGGGTTCACGCCTCAGTTGTCCTCTGTGCATACCACCAAGCCTGGTGCATGGAAAGCCCTCGGTTTACTTTCATAAGTGAATGATCAAATGAGCCAGCCACATACTGGCTGTTAAATGGCTTTACCAAGCCAGGGTTTTGAAGACCAGGAATGTTTTGTTTTGTCTTGTGTTTTATTTTTTGAGACAGGGTCTCGCTATGTAGCCCAGGCTGGCCTCAAACTCACAGCAATCCTGCCTCAGCCTCCTAAGTGCTGGGATTATAGGCACATCCCACCATGCCTGGGGACCAGGGACTTTTCAACCATGGATTTTTTTTTTTAAACCAGGGATCAAACTTGGGAACTTGTACTTGTGAGTCAGGTAGAGGAATTCAACCAGGCATTTTTAACCCAGCTACTGTGACTCGGTTCTTTGTCTAATGCTTGTTTATTCATTTGTTCGCTCACTAACAGAGCAATGGATTTTCTTTTATCTTGGTTTGGTTTGCTAGAGATGGAACCTAGGACTTTCTACTGGACTGCATCTGCAGTCCTTTTTATTTTTTATTTTGAGATAGAGTCTTGATAAATGAGTTGCCCAGGCTGGGCTCAAACTTGCAATCCTCCTGCCTCAGCCTCCCAGAGTGCTGGGCTTCCGAGTGTGTGCTACCACCCCCAACTAGCAGTGGACATTTTTAAGAAATAAAATTTCATTCAGACCCCTGAATTGGGGCCCTTCCCCTCCCCAGTTTGAGGTATTCAGAACTCTGGGTCCCAAGACCTGCAGAGCTAGATAATCTCATGGCCCTCTCCCAGTAACGCTCTAACCTCTTTGGCCCCCTTGTGCCTTGAAATAAGCTGCAGCTTCCGGTACCTCATCCCAGGGGCCAGGAAAAGGGTCTCCCTTATGGTGAGGGTTGGGAGGTTGGCAAGAAAAGCTGTCTGCCCCTTACAACCCATGAGTCTTTTCACACTTTCACTAGGGCACAGATTTCCAAAGGCCCCAGAGAAATTGAAGAGCTCCCAGAGAGCCCAGCAGGTCAGGCTTCCAGTGACCCCAACACAAAGCTAGAGGCCCACACTGTCTGAAAACCTCACAGAGTGATTAATCACTCAGCAGCTTCCTCAGGCACCAGACATCTTCCTGCTCCTGACCCCTCCTGAAGGTAAGGGTGGCCAGGACTTGCAGGCACCAATGCCCATTATAACTTGGAAGAAAAGAGTGCTACTTACCTGACACGTGTGACCCCAAATAAACCCTTACGGTATCGGGGCCTCTACTTCACCATCTGCGGAATGAGCTGATGGGCCTCTGTCCTGGAGCTCTGATGGCCTGTGTCTTTTCCAAGACTTTTTGTATTATAATGGCTCTCAGGATCAGGGGCACGGCCCAATGCAAACACATACACAAAAGCAAAATTAAACTTTAATATTTAATGAAATATAGACATGATCCCGCTGCCAAAGGCAGCCGGATTGTAATTTTCTCAAGATAATTTAATTTCAGATTCCTATCGATGAACCTCGCCTCCCCATGGGGTCCCTTTTGCTGACACCCTCTCAAACACATAAATCAGGATCTACTTTATATGAGAGTCACAGTGCCAGACACTCACAGGCCTGGGTGGGCACCGTGCGCCCATCGTTTGGAGGGGTGGGCAGTGACTCTTGGGAGCAGGTCAGTGGCATGAGGCTAAATGGAAAGAAGGGATTTGAGGCTGAGGCTAAATGATGGGGAAAAATAGGCCTCTGTCTATTTAGGTGAAAATGACAAGGAAGCAGATTTCCACTCTGCATAAGGAAGCGATTTGTTAACACAGAGCGCTACCCAGCTCTGGAAAAGGCTGCTCCCGAGCAATGAATCCCCCAGTGCTGGAGGTGTTAGGGACTCGGCTCACGTGGGGTGGAAGCTGCTCTGTTGGAGAGATCTTCGAGCCAGCTGTGCAGCTCGGAAGACACGACAGTCTGCACTAACACCCAGAGACTTGACTTCACACAGTGCAGGGCCTGGCCAGGGAATCTGCAATCGAAAAAGTCTCCCAGGTGATTCTGCTGCAAACAGTCTTGTCTGCACATCAGCTTGGGAGCCAGTGGTTGGGGTGACTTGAAGGGGCCTCCCACCCCCGAGATCTTAGAACCCTGAAGCTCAGACGGATTTGAAATGGATCATTTCCATAAGGGAATGCCAAACTACAGAGCTGAGAGTGATGACCAAGACCTGCTCTTCCTTCTGGAAGGGGAACCAATGGAGAAGCCAAGATCCACAAGATGGAAGGGGTGACCTGGCCATGGTGGTGCACGCCTACGATCCTAGCACTCCAGGAGGCTGAGGCAGGAAGATCAAAAGTTCAAGCGGGCCTGGGCAACTTAACAATTCAGTGAGACCCTGTCTCAAGATTTTACAAAGGAGTGGGGATGTAGTTAGTGTGAAGATCCTGGGTTCCACCTCCAGCACACACGCACACACACACACACACACACACCACACACACACATACAGGGAGGGAAGACACACTCCCAAGGTCACGCAGCCAGTGAACCCTAAAATTAAGTCTAAATCCCAGAGGTCCTGAAACTCCCTAGGAGGAAAACTCCGGATTCTCACCAAGACTCAGTCCTCTCCTATCCACCAAGATTTCTGGGGGGAAAAAAGGAAATCTTAGCTGAGTTTGGGTGCAATGCTTGGAAAACCTTTTTAAGAAAGATGAAATGGAGTCCATACAGAGGATACATTGATGTCTCCTCTTTCTTTCCACAATCAGAAAACTTTGGTTCTACTCTCTTTTAGCTAAATGAGCCTGAGTGAATGGATAAAACTCTCCACGGTCATTGGTGAAACAGGAACAATATTTCTTCCCTGCCTACCTGTCCCTCATGGGGACCAACCAGAAACTGGACCTTAAAAAGTCCACAAATTGCAATCTCCATGAGGACTAAGACCTATTATTCAGAAAGACTGGACCTATTATCTGAATCCTAAACACAATCAAGCTCAACTCAAGGCCCTCATCTTTAGGAGATCTCTCCTGGCCAGTTCTTCAGAACCTTCCTTTGACTCTTGTTTTTTTGTCGGTTACTAGTGAGCCTACATTCCTCTCTAATTGCTCCCCCTTGTGGCAGCCCAGTGCTCAGTATTCTGGATTCTGCCCTATGTGACAAAGAGCGCTCCTCTTCCTTCTCCGAATCTCTTTCCTACAGTACAGTCATTAAGACAATCACCTTTAGAATTAGGCAAACCTGAACTCAGACCCTGGCTCAACTCTCTACTAGTGGTGTGGCCACAAGTAAATAATTTAACCTCTCTGAGCCTCTGTTTCCTCAGAGAGGCTAGAAAAAGGTGATGTTAGTAAGTAACACTCTCAGCACATGAGGGAACCCTCTAATGCCTTAATTAATAGGATAAAATGAAGAGACTGCATTTCAACTAGACAGAGCTCCCTCCAGCAATGAGATACCAAAGCAGTGCATATTCCTCCACTCCATTCCTAACCTTTGCAGTAAGATTCAAAAAGTTTGCCTGGGCAATATTTAACAAAGACCAGTGGACTTCCCTGGAGGTTTCCTCTGGATTCCTCAGCTGGTAATTTCTATCATTGCCCTTCTGGAGAATCATTCTTGGTTCATAAGTTCAAGGCAAGATACTCGCTGTTCCTCATGATTCCCAAGATGGCTTCCAAATGTTATAGCCATAAATACATTTCAGACACAAATTAGAAGGCAGGCAGCCGGTGGGGCTTGGGGAAGAGATTGCAACCATATGGCAGGATGATGAATCATCCTGTGTTAATGAAAGTACATCTCAGCTCAGCCCCTGGCGTTCTGTACCTGCTGCTCACCTGGGGATGAGGAACGTGGCATAGAGACTTTAAATGGAGGCTGGGAATCCAGGGAGTGTAGGAGTGGGGTGGAGGGCACGCGAGAGGCTGCTCTGCCAGGGGGACCCTTTCCCGAGGTCGGTTCCAGGAATGGGTCCTGCGCTACAGGGGCTAAGCACGAATCTCTCTTGATTGGCAGGTCCCCCAGTGAACGTGAGCTGCAACATTTTCATCAACAGCTTCGGTTCCATTGCTGAGACAACCATGGTGAGTGAATCAAAATCCAAGCTGCTGCTTCCTGCTGCGGACATCTCTCTCCCTGAAATATTTATCCTCTGCCGTGGTCTTCCCCAAGGAGGTGGAGAGTCAGGTGTTCCTGTCGGGTCTCTGGTGATGTACCACGGGGCTCGGGTGATCGTTAGGGGCTTTGCATAAACACCAACATCTGCAGTGGCTACAAGAACTAACAGGGTCACCACATGGCCCACGTTCAGCCTTACAAGAACACCATTATTCACCGGGCTCCACTTTTAGATTAAAATAAAATATAAAGACCTGCTCGAGGATTTCAAATTCAACTGAAAAGCGGCAGAGGGCTGAAGGTTACAGAAGCTGAAATGATATATTGCAGTAGTTGTACTATTTGCTCTATTTTTGAATGTGTTTAAAATTTTCTATGATAAAAAGTTAAACATGATTACATTAGAAAAAGAGTATAAAGCAGAGATTGGTAAATGTGAATAGCAATTATCTCTGACTCATAGACTTACAAATAATTCTTATTTTATTCTTTCAGTTTTGCTGTATTTTTTAAATTTCTACAATGGATGAATAGTCCATTAGAAATTTTTCTCAGTTCTTGAAAAAGGCCATTTGTCCAGCGTGCAGCAGTCCACACCTATAATCTCAGCTACTTGGGAGGCTGAGGCAGGAGGATCACAAGTCCAAGGCCAGCCTGCCCAACTTAGCACAGCCCTGTCTCAGAATAACAAAATGGAAAAAGCTGGTCTATCTTGGGGGTAGTGCGCTCCGGGGCTCAGTCCCCAATACCACTGCCACCACCACCACCAAAAAAATTCGGTTGTACTCACTTGGAGGAAGCAAGCCACTTGGTGAAAAAATCAGTGCAGCCTAAAATTAACCTCAGTGAGAGGCCTAGATACGCTACTGCCTCAAAGCCCTGTAAACCACTGATCTCTTGCTGGGTGTCTTTATGCCTCAGTTTCTTCATCTGTCAAACCCCCATGGTGATTAACATCCAGTTTTTATGTGTGTTGTGTCCAAGGAAGTGTTTATCCCAGTAAAGGCTCTGCTCACTGCATGGCGATGATGACGATGATGATGATGATGATGATGACGATGATGATGACTGACTGTGACTGTGACTGGAGGCAATTCTGATTGGATCTCCGAGTAGCTGGGTGCTCTTAAGCAACCCCTAGACTTCTCTGAGCCTTAGCTTCATCTTGCCCTCCCCCTGCCTTCTGTCTGCTCTCCTGACCTCACTCCCTCCCCACCTAGCTTTCTACAGAGACCATACAGCTCTGGGACCTTAGGCAAGGTCACCAAAGTCTGCTTCCTCGTCTGTGAAACGGGGACACCAGCAGTGTCCACCTCGGGCCTGCTGCAAGGATTCAGACGCAGAGCGTGGAGAGTGCTATGCACAGTGACACACAGCGCGAGTCAGCTCTTCTCACCCGATGCTTCATGTGGTTCCCAACACGTTTTCACGTTCACAATAGCTGGGCCTTGGTGACCACTCTGCAGCAGACAGCTTGCAGCATGTTCCCCATTTTACAGCTGAGGAAACTGAGACCAGGAGAGAGAACACCACAGAGGCAGTTAGTGACCAGCAGAGAGGAAGCTCCAGCCTCTCAAGCCATAGATAAGGGTTAGCCCTGCACTGTGGTGCCACAACACCAAGGAGCAGGCTCGAGACCTGGGTGGACTGGGGGCCTACGATGCAACAACCTAAGCATCATCAGGAGTGGAAATCCAAGCCCAGACAATGCCAGGCTCCACACACCTCAGGGCAAACGATGGAGACAGCCAAGGAGAGGAGCGAGCCCTGCAGTGAAGACAGGTGGTCTCGCAGCGATGCAGAAGGCTCGCAGCGATGCACTTCCTTAGGGTGGCCCTCAGGGGAGTTCGCCGGCTCCCTCTTTATTAAAGGAAATCCAGAGGGGGCACACCTTGCTGATTTCTGGCAAGCACATTCCGTACTACTGCAATTTCTTTCTTAATTGTCTATATTTGTTTCATTTACTTCACAGATGATTGATTTAGGGGAGAAAACCCCTAAAATCTCAGCTCTAGAAAAATTTCTTTAGAAATGGCCTAACCCAGGGCCAGGGATTTAGCTCAGTGGTGCCACCACCTGCCTCGAAAGCACAAGGTCCTGAGTTTGATCCCCAGTACCAAAAAAAAAAAGAAAGAAATGGTCCAACCCAGCCCTTTATTTTACAGAGAGGGGATCTGATGGCCAGAGTGGGAGGTCACCCGAGCACGGTCACAGCACAGAGTGGATGGGACGGGGGCCTGACGCTCTCCGTGACAGCCAAAGGTCCCTCTCCTTACCTTCTTCCTCCTCCAGGTCTCACCACAAATCCCTGACCACATTCTCATCCACACCTCCTTCCTCATCACTCAGAGTCCATCCAGGGAACAAGACTGGGCTCACAGTAAGAGTACAAAGCCGGGAAAAAGAGCTTATTCTGGAGGAACACTTTAGACACTGCTCTGCGCCCAGCACTGGGCAGACCCTTCTGGATATGTCATCCCATTAAGTCACACAGCAGCCCCTGGGTAAAGGAAGTTATCTCCAGTATGTAACAGGAAACTAAGGACCAGAAGGTTAGGTTGCTTACCTAAGGACACGGCTAATAACTGGCAGAAATAGTATATGAGCTCACATCTCTCTCACTCCAAAGTACATGGTCTCCTGAGCCAAACATAAATATTTATTTCCTAGATTTTTGGGATAACCCAGCCATGGCTTCTTACCCTACATTATAGGGAGTTAGAGCTGACACAGAAACTGAGGCCAGAGAGGATTTCACTTGTCCATGGACACACAGCACAGGCAGGCCAGTGGACTCGTGGAAGTCTAGCCAGAGTCCCAGGGTCAGAAACTTTGCAGCTGGGTTAGCTCCCCAGGAAGAGCAGGCACACATAGCGACTCTGGAAAGAGCTGGAGTCCCCAGGCCTGACTGCTGCCTCCCAGGGCCTGGCAGCAAAGCAACGGGGGTCTCTCTCCATTCCCTCCAAGGAGAGAGGCAGGGCTGAGCTGTCTGTCCTTCACCTGACCTTCCCAGGGACGCTCTGAGTCTCTGCAGCATGAAGAAGGTCGAAGTCAAAGCAGGAATACACAAGAAGGGAGAAGCAGGGTCCTGTCCTAGGGCAGCCCTCTGATAGTCCAGAAGGGACCTAGAGCTCAAATCCAGAAGGAACCAGCACAGGACACGTTCTCATGATGGTGCCTAAGTGTGTTCACTGCAGCATCTGTGTGTCTGTGTGTCATGGATGTCCATGTGTCCAGCATGGGGCTGCGGGACCATGCAGGTGCACACAGACATGCGTACACAGGCATGCTAGTTCCAACGGAGTTTCCAAGAGAAATGTGTAGAGCATGTGGAATGATATAAGTATGTACATTTCTGTGCTTAGGTGTGTAAATGTATAAACATGGATGTGCGTGTGTCCATGAGCAGGTATAGATACAGGATATGCGACACTCTTAAGAGTGAATGCAGGCTGAGGCAGGTGGATCACAAATTCAAGGCCAGCCGGGACTACATGGCAAGACCCTCTCTCAAAAAGACAAAAAAGAAAGAAAATATGAAGGAAGTTTATTGCTTTTATGCATATGTTTGTGTGTGAATATCAGTAGATATAATATTCAAGAGTATGTATCAGCGCCTGAGTCATCATATTTATGTAAGTATATTCAGGTGCATGCAAATACATACATGTGAAAAAGTACTTAACTGAGTGTTAGTATATATGTCCTGGAATTCATGGCAGTGTGTGTGTGTGTGTGTGTGTGTGTGTGTGTGTGTTGGCGTCCTTTGGCTTGACTCCCAGTATTTCCATTATTAGCATGTATGCTCCAGCCTCTTGCCAAGGGTCAGGGTGACCTGGAACAGAGACACACACACTGTAGCCAGGACCCCTAGCAATTGGGGACAGCCTAAGCAATGACAGCCCTCAGTTCGGCCTTCCTTATAGGCATTAAGGGATGCAGAGACCTACACCTGGAGACAAGGAGCCAGGCGCATTCATCGGCTTCTCATCACTGCGGTGAGCTACCCGAAGCTCACACCTAAACTACCTGAGGTGCATTTAGCTTGCAGCTTTGGAGGTCTAAAGGAAGGCTGCCCGTGCAGGGTGCAGGTGGTAGCACCTTGTGGGAGGGAGTCTGTTTAGCAAAACAGGCACGTCTCTAGTGGGAGCACAGATTGAGAGCAGCACCTGTGACCTGAGGGACTCACTAAACCCTGCCCTACAGGCTCCACTGCCTCCCAGCAGCCCCACAGGAACAAGCCTGCACAGTGACCTCTGGAGACGTTCATTTGAACCTCAGCACCAGAGTGCGAGTCCAGCTACACCACCACATAACACCTGTGAGGCTCAGCGGTCCCCAGGCGCCGGGCTGTGAGAACGATGCACCTGGTCACACAAAGCAGTAGGGTACTGAGCCTCTTGTGCAGCCTACAGAAATGGGAAAGATTATTAGCTACAGAATTAATGGGCTGGGCTGTAGTTCAGTGGTGAAGTGCTGGCCCAGCGTGCACGAGGCCCTGGATTCGATCTCCAGTACGGAAACAACAGCAAAAACTTCTACACTAATAAGGCAAGAACTCCAACATGTAAACACAAGGAATGCCTTTCTGGTTGTTTGTTTTTGTTTCCTGTTCTCTCTGGAATCACACATTCTTTCCACCTCAGCTGTTAAGGGCCCTATATATGCTATATGGGGAATTAGGCTCTAGGGATAGGTTCTGTTTCAGGTTTTTCCAGGGACAAACTATCTCTCTACAAAGTCTGCTGTAGATCTAAGAAAATCTGGGGTGACTGTCCCCCAGGTGATGGATCAGCATTGCATTTCCACACCAACACGGGATTTCATTTTTGCCATAAAAGGGAAGAATGAGCTGAAGTGGTTAACACTGGTGTATTAGTCAGCTTGGGCTACCACAACAAAATACCACTGGCTGGTGTGCTTAAATAATAGAAAATTGCTTTGTCACAGTCTGGAGATGAGAAAT